AGGGGCAGACAGAGAATCTTAAGCAGGCTCCACGCTCAATGTGGAGCCTGATGTGGGGCTCGATCCCATGACCCTCTGCTCATGAGCTGAGCCAAAATCAAGAGTTGGATGCTCAACAGACTGAGTCGCCAAGGCACCCTAGTGAACATACTATTCTCTTAAAATTTTTTTTAAATTTTTTATTTTTTATTTTTTGCTTTTATTTTAATTTTACTTATTTATTTTTAAATTTACATCCAAATTAGCATATAGTGCAACAATGATTTCAGGAGTAGATTTCTTAGTACCCCTTACCCATTTAACCCATTCCCCCTCCCACAACCCCTCCAGTAACCTTCAGTTTGTTCTCCATATTTATGAATCTCTTCTGTTTTGTCCCCTTCCCTGTTTTTATATTATTTTTGTTTCCCTTCCCTTATGTTCATCTTTTTTGTCTTTTAAAGTCTTCATATGAGTAAAGTCATACCATATTTGTCTTTCTCTAATTTCACTTAACATAATTCCCTCCAGTTCCATCCACATAGTTGCAAATGGCAGGATTTCATTCTTTTTGATTGCCAAGTAATACTCCATTGTGTGTGTGTGTGTGTGTGTGTGTGTGTGTGTGTGTGTGTGTGTGTGTATACCACATCTTCTTTATCCATTCATCCATAGATGGACATTTGGGCTCTTTCCATACTTTGGCTGTTGTTCATAGTGCTGCTATAAACATTGGGGGGTGTGTGTGTCCCTTCAAAATGGCATACCTGTATCCCTTGGATAAATACCTAGTAGTAAAATTGCTGGGTCATAGGGTAGTTCTATTTTTAATTTTTTGAAGAACCTCCATACTGTTTACCAGAGTGGCTGCACCAGTTTGCATTCCCACCAGCAGTGCAAAAAAGATTCTCTTTCTCCGCGTCCTCGCCAACATCTGTCATTGCTGGAGTTGTTAATGTTAGCCATTCTGACAAGTGTGAGGTGGTATCTCATTGTGGTTTTGATTTGTATTTCCCTGATGATGAGTGATGTGGAGCATTTTTTCATGTGTCAGTTGGCCATCTGGATGTCTTTGGAGAAGTGTCTATCCATGTCTTTTGCCCATTTCTTCACTGGATTATTGTTTTTTGGGTGTTGAGTTTGGTAAGTTCCTTACAGATTTTGGATATTAACCCTTTATCTGATATGTCGTTTGCAAATATCTTCTCCCATTCTTTTGGTTGCCTTTTAGTTTTGCTGATTGTTTCATTCGCTGTGCAGAAGCTTTTATTTTGATGAGGTCCCAATAGTTCATTTTTGCTTTTTGTTTCCCTTGCTTCCGGAGACGTGTTGTGTAAGAAGTTGCTGTGGCCAAGACCAAAGAGGTTTTTGCCTGCTTTCTCCTCGAGGATTTTGATGGCTTCCTATCTTACATTTAGGTCTTTAATCCATTTTGAGTTTATTTTTGTGTATGGTGTAAGAAAGTGGTCCAGGTTCATTCTTCTGCAATAAACATACTGTTCTTACTTATTCTGAAAAACAATGAAAAGTGATCATCCAAAATAGATCTTTTTATCATTCACATTTAGCTTCAAGTCTTAGTTTATATTTGTTAGGAATTCTGTTGGCGGCAGCCAGCTCCTGGGGCTGCACTCTGATGAGTCAACTCCAGGGGATTCAAAAAGCTGTTCTGTTCCCATGTCTCCTCCGAGCCTTACACACTCCTCCCCTTTCCTTACTTTACACCCGGGCTTGGGCACCTTCACTTCTCAATGTGACTCCAAATGGCTCTGTGTGCTGAGTTCCCTAGAGTCTGGCTGTGCTGCCCTGTTGGCCCTTGCATTCCTTGGGGATGATTGAGGTAGTCTGGTCTTTTAGCCAAGTCTAAACACTGAACTGTCATACTTTGTCTTCCAGCTAGGCTACAGGCTACATTCAGGATGTGTCCATAGATAAGGTGTGTGAAAGAGAGCGGCATCTCCTATTTCAGCATTTGAGAGAGAACAGAATGATTTGTTTGGAGTATAAAGGAGATTGATACCTTGTATGATGTCATAAACTTTGAAGCCACTTGCTTTTTTAATCAGAAGGAACCAGAGGATTACAAGGCATTTGAGATTCCAGAGCACTGAGATCCCAAAGCAAAGTAAGTGGCTACCAGTGGGGAAGATACTAGGAAAGCAGGAAAGGGGTCAGTTTCATGCATTGAGTCAAGTGCTGGAAATTTATGATGAGAGCAGAGGAACTGATGGAACTTTGGATTAGATCATTTCCCAAACTCTGTTCCATTGAACATTAGCTTCTTTGATGTCATTAGATATTCTGGGAGAAAAAAGATTCCATAGTCAAGTAAGTTTGGGGAAAGCTTCATACCGTCCTGAACAGGAAATTCACCATGTACATTAGCATACTAGAAATTCTGAGAGAGCTCCTTGAATAAAGAAGCACCTTAATTTGGTTTAACCCAGTATATCTTTTTTTTTTTTTTAACATTTTATTTTATTTTTTGAGAGAGAGCATGAACAGGGGAGGGGCAGAGAGAGAGGGAAACACAAAATCTGAAACAGGCTCCAGGGTCTGAGCCAAAGTTGGATGTTTAATCAAGCCACCCAGGCACCCCCAACCCAGTATATCTTAATCTTACTTGGTCGGGGAATCCATATTCATTGAATACCTTTAGCTGATATTACAGGACAGGAAAAGTGACTTGGCCTGTTAAAGGTTTTGGTTTTTTATTCACAGTCAACCAGTATTGCATTTAAAGTGTCAACGAATTATGCCTCTACGTCTAATCTCTCTTGGCAGTTTCAGAAAATTGCCTCCCTAACATACTAAAGCTGATTGTTGGCATCAGATTGGCTCACATTGCTGTTTTCTTAAATTCATACATGAGAACAAAGAGAAAGAAGTTAATGCACTTGTCAGATATCTATACTACATTAAACTATTTACTTCATTAGCATTTTATTAGCTTTATGCAATTAATGTGAACTGAATGGGGTAGCAGCACTGCTTGGAGAAAGCTGTTCACACTGTGCTGTGTTAGGATATAATATACATTTAAAGGTTGTGGTTGCTCATATTAGAAGATATCCTATAATTAGGACCATGATTTGTGCCAAGAGAATAAACATGGCATCTGACACCAGGTGAGGGCCTAATAATATAAAAGGTATTGAATGAATAAACCTGTAAATCTTACAAGAGAATTTAATGGCCCTTATATTTTGCTGTCATGACACTAGAGGGAGCTCTCAGTGCTCCCTTAGAGCTCTTAGGAAGGAAGTTACTTTCATTTTGGGATTAGAGTGATTGGAGTTTAAAGGCTTGGTTTTTTTGTTGTATTTTTTTTTTAGGTTTATTTATTTATTTTGAGAGAACATGTGTGCAAGTGGGGGAGGGGCAAAGAAAGAGGGAGAGAGAGAATTACAAGTGTAGAGCCTGATGTAGGGCTCAAACTCAATGGACCATGAGATCATGACCTGAGCAGAAAGCAAGAGTCAGATGCTTAACCAACCGAGCCACCCAGGCACCCCTTAAATTGTTTTTATAAAAAGGAAAAAAGGGGCGCCTGGGTGGCGCAGTCGGTTAAGCGTCCGACTTCAGCCAGGTCAGGATCTCACGGTCCATGAGTTCGAGCCCCGCGTCAGGCTCTGGGCTGATGGCTCGGAGCCTGGAGCCTGTTTCCGATTCTGTGTCTCCCTCTCTCTCTGCCCCTCCCCCGTTCATGCTCTGTCTCTCTCTGTCCCAAAAATAAAAAAAATTAAAAAAAAGTTGAAAAAAAAATAAAAAGGAACAAAAAGGTAATTTTTCTGTTAGCAAGGAGATTGATATTAGTGCTATTCTGCTTGGTGTGAGAAACTTGTCTACATGAATTATAAATAATATAGGTGACAGAACTCCTTTCAGGATATCTAAAAAGACAAGAGAACCACAAATTTTTAGAAACTGAGTAGTGTCGGAGGTAAAATAACTGTGCTACATATTGGGTAAAGTAAGTAGCTTTACTGGTGATTTTTTTCCTTCCACACTGGTAAATGTTCTTAGCTAATAATTTATTGCCATTCCTGTAAGTCAAGATTTAGTTTAAAATTATACTTTGTTGTTGTTTTAGCAATTCTAAATACCGTCCTCAAAGTAGGGTCAGGCCTATCTGCTGCCTGCCTTAACTGCCCTCACCCACACTCCCAGCACACCATTAATGTTATCTGTCCCTGCCCCTGAGCTGCACTCTCCACCGCCAGGATCTCAGGAGCCTAAAGACACAACCAGGTATAGTGCAGAAGTTCAGTTTAGAATCAAAATGTGGACTCCTGTATTCCAATTACTTGCTGTGTTCTTAGACAGTGATAGCTGGTTTATGGAGTGCTGATACGTACCGGGTGCAACATTGAGTGCTTTTTCTGTGGCATACGTAATCCTCCCAATGACTGAGGAAATACTATTATATCCTCGTTTCCAGATGAAGATTACAGTGTTAGGAGAGGGTAAGTTACTACTAGTTAAGGCTTAATAGTAAGAGTTGAAACCAGATACAAAGCCAGGGTGTCAGACAGTCACACACAACTGGTGTGCAGCAAGTCACACACTGCCACTACTGCCTGCTCTGTGCCTCAGTTTCCTCATCTGTAAGGTGTTTATAATGGCTACTTAACAGAGTTAATGTGCGGATGAAGTTTAAGCCTGCATTTATTTATTTATTTATTTATTTTTAATTTTTTTTTTTCACCGTTTTTTATTTTTTATTTTTTGGGGACAGAGAGAGACAGAGCATGAACGGGGAAGGGGCAGAGAGAGAGGGAGACACAGAATCAGAAACAGGCTCCAGGCTCCGAGCCATCAGCCCAGAGCCTGACGCAGGGCTCGAACTCACGGACCGCGAGATCGTGACCTGGCTGAAGTCGGACGCTTAACCGACTGCGCCACCCAGGCGCCCCAAAAAGCCTGCATTTAATTGTGACTATTTGGCACGTCGCACATACTCTTCAGTAAATGTTCATTCCATTTCTTTCCCCGTCTCCTTCCTTCCTTCACCTGCAGACAATTGGAAACCTGCTCTCGCTCACTCCATACCTCCCTCTGAATTTAGGTCCTAATTCTATACTCTACTTGAATGCTTTTGTTTTTTAGCACCAGTTACTCTCAAGAACTCCTTAACTGAAGTGTCATTGGCCCTCAACTTTATAACGTCTTTTCTGTCAATTTTTTTCTCTTCAAATTTTTATTTAAATTAGTTTGTTAACAGTGTCAATTTAAAACAATTTTTTTTGATGTTTATTTTTGAAGGAGAGAGAGACAGAGCATGAGGGGGGAGGGACAGAGAGAGAGGGAGACACAGAATCCGAAGCAGGCTCCAGGCTCTGAGCTGTCAGCACAGAGCCTGATGCGGGGCTCAAACCTGTAAGCCACGAGATCATGACCTGAGCTGAAGTTGGAGGCTCAACCGACTGAGCCACCCAGGCGCCCCTTCATGTGTCAGTTTTTTAAAAGCTCTAAAGTTTATTTATGTATTTTGAGAGAGAGGGGGCATGCATGGGAGAGGCAGGGAGAGAGGGAGAGAGAGGATCCCAAGCAGTCTCTGTGTTGTCAGTGTGGAGCCCAATGCGGGGCTTAAGCTCATGAACTATAAGATTATGACTTGAGCTGAGATCAAGAGTCAGACATTTAACCGACTGAGCCACCCAGGCACCCATATCATGTCAATTTTTTAATTAGCTTTTGGCACTTCCGCTTATCAACTTATCACAGCTGATGTGACTGTCACGCCCATATACCTCATATAATAAATGGTCTGTGATGAACATGCTGGTTTTATTTGCTTTCAGAATGACAAATGAGCAGTTCTTTAAAAATTGAGCACAAAGATCTGTGCAGCCAGGTGATAGTAATAATGTGATATTTCGAGTCACTCATCAAGTCACTTCTAGCAGTCTGACCTTTTTCTCTTTATTTTCTCCACCTAGCGATGGCAGGATCTCTTTGGTTAAGAGGTTAGTTATGCAGTGACAAGAGTGCAAGTGGGATTTGTACCTTTCATCTGGGGTTCTGTGTATCATTGTGGGATTCTGAGAAAACAGCTCTGTATGTCTTTCTGAATAATTGTAAAACCAACAAGATTTACCAGTGGGATGCAGCATGGTGGGCTGAAACAGTCCTCGAATGAGTCTTCTTAAATCTAATCTCTGTTCTCTAAGTAACTTTCTGAAAGTAGATACATCTGTGTGGGCCTATCTCCTTATCTCTAAAATGAAACAATTCATTTAGCTGAACTCCAGGGTTCCTAGCTGAAAAAATTCATGCAAAAAAATAAAAAGCCTTGTGTTTTTATAGCTACCTCTTTAACAAATTGTATCATCAGCTGGGATGTCTCCTGGATGTTACCCACAGGCCACTTAAAATTAACATTGTGAAATGAGCTTATCTTGCCCCTCAAACTTGTTCCTTTGCTGTGTTCTCTGGTCGCTTGTGCTAGAAACCCAGTGGTCACCTTAACTCTTCCTTCCATATCTCGTCAGACCCCAAGTCCCATGTCCTCCCTTCCTCAGTAGTTTTGTAATCTTTTCTTCTTGCCCCTACCACCATTGCCTTAGTTTAGATTCTCGTCGCCTTTAGTCTTCAGTGGCCTAACCATACATTTCACATATAATCTACAATTAAAACCTACACTTTAATCTTGACCACATACAACAGTAGCTATACAATTCCTTGCCTACTCAGACTCTTCCCTGGTAATACCACTTTGAGAGAGTTAACTGAAAAGAAGAGGCCCAAAGATTTTAATAATAGTATTTTTAATAATGAAAGTTGAAAACAACTGGGACACCCCACAATGAGTATTAATAAGCAAATGGTATAAATTATATGCTGTGTATGTCAGAATACCCACTAGACCGTAGATGCCTGATAAATTCTTTCTGAGGGACCAAATGAAGGAGGCATGTAGCTATAAAGATAAGAGGGTGTGGATTAAATCACACCACTGACATGTGTCTATGAAATAATGTTAGGTAGGAAAAAGAGATTCCACTCTCTAAGAATGTTTCCTGCATTAAGATGAATCTGGATATGTCACAGATCTGCCTAACTCTCAAATGAATAGAAAATCAAAATCTCACATCTGTCATATCACTAATACATCTTGAGAATAAGTGCTGTCTACCCCCTGAGGACACCGGGTGTGGCTAAGATATTTCGTTGGCCAGAGTCCCTGAGTCCAGCACTTGTGATTTTTAGATCTGTGATCTTGATCTCTGGGGTTTAAGTGGCTGAAAGCACAGCTTCTTCTGGGCCCACCCAGAGAGCTGGTGTCCCCTTGTAAGGGAGCGCTGCATTCTCTTAGAAGAGAGTGGGGACTGAATCACCGTACAGGACTTCACAGCCAGGATGGGGAAAACGCCTATCTGGCTCCAGAAGTCTGGGGAAATGACCGAACTCTACTAAGCTATGTAAACCATTTCTTAGAGCCCACCAACATTAAGAAGTAAATGTAATTAATCATAATCAAAATTTTCTCTTTCTATGAAGTTACGGTCACGCTTTTTTTTTTTTTAATGGCCCTGAGCTTTGATTAAAGGTATGACTCATGACTGTTCAGAGCATGGTTTTCAAACGATCTCTGCTAGTACACTAGGGTTCTACTGGCTAGACCAGTGTGTTCCCACAGCTGAAATCAAATAATGGTGCTCTTTTTCTTAGGTCCAAGAAAAGTTGATAGAATTTTGTCAATGTTATGTTTTTTCTCCATCAGTGTTTTTACCACGTTAATACCTGCTACCAAATTTAAGAAGTAATAAAGAAGTATTATGGGAATATTTGGCTGAGTGTTCTTGTTCTAAATAGCTTGTCTTTGTGGCCACGTGTATCCCTTGTTGTTTTATATTGCATACATTATATATTCTGCTAGTAAACTGTTCCTCATTCATCAAACTAAATAAAATATGTTACTATCATGGGGTCAGCAAAGAGTAACTTGATTTCCAGGTGCTTCACCCCTGGCCTATGTGTCTGTGTGAAATAGAACTTATAAAATCCAAAATGTTCTTACGTAATTCACATGGATCATATACTCACAGGCACCACTTAAATGAAAATAAGCCTTGGTAATGGAAGTACAAATCCAAGTTCAGGTAGTCCCTGGCTTATCCCTTCAATGTAAAGACCTCTGGAAAAGTCCTGGAGGACTGTGCCCCAGTTTTTGACACTCAACCTATAAGATTTTTCCCTTATTTCCAAACCTAAGGCACAAGACCAAGACTTTCTAGGGTCCTTGGGTTCTGACTAATAAGACCTGCTATATGTCTAGTGCTGTGTCCTGAACTTATTAAGGCTAAGATACACTTTGGTGAGTATTTTAATGACCACACATAAATACCTAATCAGAGCACTTAAGTCTTACCAGCCAGGGGCGCCTGGGTGGCTCAGTAGGTTAAGCGTCCAACTTCAGCTCAGGTAATGATCTCATAGTCTGTGAGGTTGAGCCCCGCATCAGGCTCTGTGCTGACAGTTCAGAGCCTGAAGCCTGCTTTGGATTCTGTGCCTCCCTCTCTCTCTGCCCCTCCCCTGCTTATGCTCTCTCTCTGTCTCAAAAATAAAAACATTAAAAATTAAAAAAAAAAAGTCTTACCAGCTGCCGAGAGAGCACAGAAAATGGGTAACAGAAGTAAGGCAGGTATGATTTCACAAAAGAGGTGACATTGGAACTCAGCCTTGAAAAGCAAAAATTTGCCTGCTGAATGCCAGATGAGGGTTGGAGAGAAGGGACGGCAGAGACATTTCAGCCACAGAATAGTTTGGGTACAGTCACAGAAGGACATGCATAAGAGAGATGGGTTTACTCAGCACAGGGTGTGTTGGGGCAATGGCAGAGGGTGAGGCTGGAGATGGCAGACAAGGGTCAGATCATGAAGGACAGGCTGAGACATTTGAACTTCATCTTGTAGGGAATGAAGAACTAGTAAGGATCTTAAGCAGATGAGTGAAACATTTGCATTTAGAGAAACCTCTGGCTAATGTTGGGAAAGTAGATTTGGGGCATGGGAGACCAGTTAGGAATGTGTTGTAGAAGCAGAGTTATTTTGACAGAAGGTGGTGTAGAGGGTGGGACATGGTGGGGGCAGAGAGTGGAGGACAGGTAGAAGCCTCAAAAACAAAACAACTGTTAAGGGCTTCCCTAAGGGCAAACACTGCTCTGGTAAGTGGGCGGGGTTGCCAGATCTGCTTTTCCTCAATATACAAAATCCTTACCCTTCCTGTCTTAAAAGTTTACTGAAATGGCACTTTACATAATCTGTAAAGGCGTGTACAAATCTGCAGAGTGGCTATTAATAGTATTGTTATAATGATTTTTATCCACAGGACAAATAATTTTGGCCTCTTTTATGGCCAAAAAAAAAAAAAAATCAACTATCAGAAATTTCATATGATTCAACCTAATAGTTCGTGACTTTTCTCCTGTTACTTCCTGCCTCCTTTTTGGCCATATCATTGTCCCCCTGCCTTTTTTAAAGATGAGCAATACATTCCATCAAAGGGGTTTCCAGGAATTCTGGGAAGGCAAGAGTATAAAGTGTATAGGCTTTGGAGTCAAACCTGGAATCAGATTTTTCTCTGTAATCGATTAACACTGATCTTGGACTAGTCGATCCGTTTTAGCCTTCCCCTCCCCCCAGTCTGGAAAATAGAAATAATGCCTGCCTCGCAGTGTTATTAAATGAGAAAAGTCATGACTTGTTAGTGTATGGCATGTAAAAGATGTTGAATAAAAGTCTCAACTCCTCCTTCCCCAGCCCCTTCTCATTTTTCCTACTTGTTCACAGAAGGCTGGGCACAGAACCCTAGTTATCTGCTTTCTTGTGTCCCCCAAAAGCTGAGTGAATAGCTGCATACCAGGGATTTTGGTGTATAAGAAATGTTCACCTGTCATAACAACTTCAAGCCAAAACCTTTTAAACCAGTGACCGCTTAAAACATCAAACATGATTCCATGGAATTGCTTTAGTGCACAATTTGTGTCAAATTTTTCCGGAATGCCACAAGCCTCATCACTTCCCACATCATTCAGGAAGTTACTCATTTAGCACTTCCAATAAACTCATACATACAGACTGTGTCATGTTCCCCTGGCAGTGGCCTCACCTTTTTTTTTCCCCTTTTAATGTGATAACTGCCTTTTGCAGGAGAAAAAGAAAAACAGTTGTAGTAGTATTTATTTCCTTCTATTGGTGCCTCTGAATCCAACCCAAAAGGTGATGTCACAATTGCTGAACCTCCACGCTCCCGGGTCCCAATAGCACAACTGGATTTCTTCCTGCTTGACATTTTCCCTTACGAGGAGTTCCAATTTTGCATTAATTCAGTGGGTTTTTTTTTTTCTTATTGAGCTCCTCCTTTGTGCAAGCACCGTTCTTGTCCCAGCATGTATATAGTGAACAAGACAGACAAAATCTTTGTGCTCTCGAGCTTACATTTTTGTGACAACAATCAAATATTTTCGGAGTGGATGAGTTCTCTGCAGGAACTAAATAGGCTAATGGGACAGATACTGGCTGGTAGAGGGAGGGTAACGATAGAAAGGGTTGAGAGGGCAGTAAGGCAGTAACAAGGCCCTGAGGTGGAAATGAGTTTGGTACATTTGAGGAACAGAATGGCTGGGATTCTTGCTTCTTTTTTGCTCCAGAGCGATAAAGTGGTAGAAGATGCAGTAGGAGAGGAAGACAAGGAGCTGATAAAAATTACTCTCTGAGAGGCGCCTAGGTGGTTCGGTTGGTTAAGTGTCGGACTTGGGCTCAGGCTATAATCTCTCGGTTCATGAGTTCAAGCCCTGCATCAGACTCTTTGCTGTCAGTAGAGAGCCTGCTTTGGATCTTCTCTCTCCCTCTCTCTGCTCCTCCTCTGCTCATGCTCAAAAAAAATAAAATAAACATTACACCCAAAAAATAAATAATCCAGTGAAGAAATGGGCAATGATATGAATAGACACTTCTTCAAAGAAGACATCCAGATGGCCAACTGACACATGAAAAAATGCTCAACATCACTCATCATCAGGGAAATACAAATCAAAACCACAATGAGATACCACCTCACACCTGTCAGAATGGCTAACATAACAACTCAGGCAACAACAGATGTTGGCAAGGATGAGGAGAAAGAGGATCTCTTTTGCACTGCTGGTGGGAATGCAAACTGGTGCAGCCACTCTGGAAAACAGGATGGAGGTTCCTCAAAAAATTAAAAATAGGACTACCTACAACCCAGCAATTGCACTGCTAGGTATTTACCCAAAGGATACAAAAATGCTGATTCAAAGGGGCCCATGCACCCCAATGTTTATAGCAGCACTATCAATAGCCAAAGTATGGGAAGAGCCCAAATGTCCATCGATGGATGAATGGATAAAGAAGATGTGATATATCTATCTATCTATCTATCTATATATCTCCATGTATATGTGTATACACACACACACACACACACACACACACAATGGAGTTATTACTCAGCAATTAAAAAGAATGAAACTTGCCATTTGCAACTATGTGGATGGAACTGGAGGGTATTATGCTAAGTGAAATTAGTCAGAGAAAGACACAAATCATATGACTTCACTCATAAGAGGACTTTAAGAGACAAAACAGATGAACATAAGGGAACAAAAATAAAAACAGGGAGGGGGACAAAACAGAAGAGACTCAAATATGGAGAACAAACTGAGGGTTACTGGAGGGGTTGTGGGAGAGGGGATGGGCTAAATGGGAAAGGGGCATTAAGGAATCTACTCCTGAAATCATTGTTACACTATATGCTAACTAACTTGGATGTAAATTTAAAAAATAAATTAAACAAATTATTCTCTGAGCTTTGACCTTCAGCTTCCCTGGAGGATTGGATTCTGTACATAGCCACTGCCTCAGACCTCCTTTTTTTTTTTTTTTTTTTTACTTTTTTTTAATGTTTATTTACTTTTGAGAGAGAGACAGAGTGCTAGCAAAGAAGGGGCAAAAAGAGAGAAAGAGACACAGAATCCGAAGCAGGCTCCAGGCTCTGAACTGTCAGCACAGAGCCCTATGTGGGGCTCAAACTCAGGAACTGTGAGATTATGACCTGAACCAAAGTTGGATGCTTAACTGACTGAGCCACCCAGGTGCCCCTCCAAGGCAAAGAATAGATAAGTGACTTGCCTAACAACACAAATAATGAGTAACAGTCCTGAGGCAGAAATGACATTTGCTCCACATGTACTGTGGGCTAGACACAGTGCTAGTCTCAACATGGAGATAACTTCTGGCACTTCCCTTAAAACTCACAGGTCACAGCACTGTGGCCCTTCGGTGACCATAGTGGGCGAAAGGCATCTGGATGTCCACACCCAGCAAGACTGTAGGTAACATGCACAGAAATCAGGATGCTATTAGGAAGGGGGATGTGGATGCTGGACAGCCCACGTTGACGATCTTTATTCTCTTGTCTTAGGCTATAGTCCAGTCTCGAGTTCTGCTACCCCTCCAAGATGGAGCCCCTCACCTCTTACCTTCTTTGAGGTTCATCTGGAAAATGGATATACCATAGTTTTCATTATTGTTGGCTATGAAATAGGAATAAAGCCCAGCTTTGGGTGCCCAAGTTTCCAGGAATGAGGTGGGTCCCCACCAATGCCCTTTGAAAAAGTGAGAAGGGAACTGTCAGAGTTTGGGAATCTAGAGGATTGAGGAAGAAGGGATCCAGATAGAATCAGGTTGTTCCTTACGGTTGTTGAAGGAAATAGTGAGGGAAAGGAGACGGGCCGGATGAGGGGGCAGTCCTCCAGCAGCCTCATTCAGATGTAACACAATTATAGGCTGTGTGACAAGTAATGATTCCTTTAAAGCCCTGTTGGTTTCCTGCAAAAGCTGTTCCCAGGTTGACCCACTGGGCTCGCTTTGGTTCCCCCAGAAGGCAGGCCAGTCAGACAATACGGCCATCATCAGATGGTTGGGAAGAGGCTAGGAGGCAGAAACTGAAGCCCGATGCCTCATATCTAGGGTATCTGAGCTGTGCATTTGCACCCTGACAGTAAGTTGTTGACAGCAAATTGGAAAGAGTTGTTGAACAAGCAAGTGTTGTTCCCATGGCAGCCAGGCCCTTAATAGAAGCAAAGAGAATAAGCTTCTGTGTGAGACCAAAGAAGCTTCTTTTCCCTTTGTCCAAAGAGCATTGGGGAGGTGACACATAATGGCATGTCTGTGGCCCTGGGTTCTCTCTAAGTTGGGTCTCCACCACTGACTCGCCGGGGAGTGGAACATCTCTCCTCTTGTTGGGCTTAATCTTCAAGACCCAACTCTCCTGCCACTTCCTTTGCCAAGCCTGCTCAGGTTCTCCCTAACTGTTCTTTTCTGTATGTTAGCACAGCATCCTCTATTCCACCCTTATACCATGTAGCACAACTTAGCACGTTACCATGTCTGTTTCCTCTGTTAGACTATGAACTCCAAAGTTAGGGACTTCGTCTGATTCATCTCACTATTGCCCTTGCCCAGCTCAGTGACTGACATAGGATTAGCATTCAGCAAGTTTTCTTGAATAAATGAACCTGTAAAATGGAGATAGCCTTTGCCTGCCTTCGTCCCAGGGCTGTTCTGAATTGGGAGTCAAGAGTCCAAATGCTACCATTAACTCACCGTGCAATAATGATAATAACAATTCACGTGTGGACAACAGTTTCGAGTTTAGGAGGCAGTTTTGCATCTATTATCTCTTTGATCCTCACACGAGCCAGTTACGACTTTATCATTTCACAGATGGGAAAACTGAGCTCAGAGAGGTGAAGTGATTGGTTAAGGTTGCTCAGCATGTAAGTGATGGGGCCAGAAATGGAACTCTGACCTCTGACCCAGAGCACGTCTTTTCTCTATTACATGTTGTTAGTTTGACTGGTGGAACACCCTTGATCCATTGTGAAACAAGCAAAAAGACCAAACACTCTCCATTATAAACTTAAAGTGCATGGCAGATTACTCCCTTCACCTCCTGCTTAATGCAAACTTGGCTGTCCCTCAAAGGCACACCTCCCCAAATTATCTTCCAACCTCTTGATTAGAGGCTGCCCACCCCTCACATATTCCACTGGGGCCTCCATTGGTGGTCTCGCCATTCCCCATTGACACCAACCTGCCACGATGCCTTCTGTCACATGCAATGTGACTTTCCCTTTGAGGCTTATGCCATCCAGCTCAACCCATCAGACCCTCTGTCCCAGGGCCTTGACTCTTGAATGAGTGACCCAAGAATGGAAAGCATGACAAGAGGGCCTATCCTTGAGGCACATGCCACCTTCCAAACTCTCTTTGCAGTGGTGGTCATTTGGCCACCCGGATCCCTAAAGTCCTCTCCACTTCAAGTCCTGCCGTCACCAGGTGACCTCACCACGTGAAGCCATTTACCATCCTGGTCTCTTTATTCCTTAATGCTGGCAATAATGACCAGTGTCTCATATCCACGGTTATACCCTGGGCCTTCTCAGGACCTGGAACCACTCCACTTGAGAGGTCTTGAGGTCTGGTGCACCGCACCTCTGACGTCACCCCTGGTTCTCCGCCCCCTCACTTTCTTGCTCCACCATGCCTGCTCCTGAACACCCCAGTTAGCACAAGGCCGTTGGCCTCACTGTATTCTTCCCAGTCCATCACCCATCTTAGTATTTCCCTTCCTTCCCTATCAGCCTAGACCTTACAGTGCAGTGTGAAAACCAGCATTATCCTCTTTCTGCCACACCCGCTCTGAAAAGCTTAAACTTTGTATCAGTCCAATCTCTGCCTTCTCAGTCCCTACTCTTGGGCGGCTGAACACAACCATGCTGACTGGCTCTAAAGTAGCTCTGTGGTCACCCCTGACTGGACTCTCATCGGTATTGCTATCTTGGTCATCTCTTCCCAATAGGTACAAATTCAGTAACTAACAAAACGGATTAATCCCTTCATTCACTTGACAAATATTTATTTATTAGCTGTTACATGCCAGGCAATGTGCTACGTGTGAAACACATTACAGTGGACAAAAACAGTCCGCAAACACAGTACCACCTTCCCAGAACTGTAGTCTGGCAGAGGAAGGAGGTTTTGCCCACTGTGTACAAACGTACTCAACAGCCGTGAAGAGTGCTGCAAAGGGAAAAATTCCAAATACTGTAACGGCACCCGACAGGGAGACCCACCCTACTCTGATGGGCCCGACAAGGCCTCCCTGAGAGACTGACTCTTGGTTTCAGAACCAAAGGAATGGTTCGGATTAGCTAAGTGACAGGAGTGGGCATGGTGGAATGCAAGGGCTTTCCGGGTGGAGGGAGGAGCATCCGTGGAGGTCCTGGGGCAGGAAGAAGGAAGCAAATGAAAGGGGACCCTGCGACAGTGCATGGAGGGCACTGAGGGCAAGGCTGGAGAAGTCAGGTTGAGCCAGATCTTTGAGGCATTTTAAGGATTTTGAACTGCCAGAGGCTTTTATGCAGAGGATGGCATCACCTGATTGGGCCTGTCTACTACCACCCACTTATAGTACACCGGACAGGTTGAACGGAGATGAGTGAACCAGAGAGGAAGTCGTTAGTGTTGTCCACTCAGTGACTCAAGGCTTAGTGGAGATAGATTTGAGAACCTTCTCCAAACTCCGAAAGGCCCATCATCTACTTCTGGCCCCTCCCACCACCACCACCACCATCACCATGTTTGTCAACGGACTTGCTTCCTACTTCTTAGGAAACTAAAAATATCAGGTGTGAACGTCCTCTGTTTCCTGCCTCTACACCCACACTTTTACCTAACTGCACTTCCTCTGGCTCCTTCCTGCCGATCTCAGAGAAACAGGGTCAGGTCTCCTGTCTGAGGCCCATCGTTCCACCTCTCTAGGACCAATACCATGCTCCATTGCTTATTCACTCCCTGTCCTGCAAACAGATTCAATTCTCTTCCAATGAGACAAACGAAAATCAAAATCCACTCACCTCCTGTCCCCCTAGCTACTACCTCATCTCTCTCCTTCCCTTTATAAATATTCGTATGTAGCCTACCCTCCCAAATGTCAGGGACAGTGGTGCTCTCCAGATAGTCCATGAACTCCCCACATTTCCCAGCTCCTTTGAAGTTAGGCAGGCGTAGGTGACTAGCATCTCACTTTGGACTCAAGTATAGAGTAGCTGGCATGTGACCTTCCCACAAACTCTTGTCAATGGCTGAGGTCACTGTGAAGGGGGTTTTGTCCTCCAGAAATTACGACCTCACGATGACGGAGACCCAATCACACTGAGCTCCCTGATGACTGTTTCCAGCAGTCCCCCTAACACACAGAGTGTCGGAAAGAAACAAATTTTTGCTGTGTCAAATCACTGAAGTCTGGGGGTGGTTTGTTACTACAGCATAGCCTAGCCTGACGAACACGTGTACATGTACTGTCTCTACTTCCCCAACTCTGTGCACATTTTAAAAAAGAATCACATTATTTCTGACATACTTTTTAGTCCTCAGCCTCCTCTCTATTGACATTTTATTCAGGCAAATGCCACTACAATTCTTTTATTACTAAATCACCTAATTGGATTTCTCTGTATCTTATGACCTATACGATACTTTTTTCTCCATCAAAGTGGAATCAAATGGCTGTTATCAAGTCAAATCCCCACTTAAAAGAATTCTGTGACTTCCAAAATCAAAGCTTATTAAACTGACATTTGAGATCCTCAACAATGTAGGCACGATTTAGCTCCTCCTACTCTCCTTTACACAGCTTACACACTACTCAATACAGAATTGATGAGCTCCTCCTCCTCTTTGACCTTCATCATGCTGTTCCCTGCACCTGTCACATGCTTCAGTCCTGCTTTCCTCTGTCAAGCAATTTAGACATGTGTGCAAAGATGCTTGTGCAAGGATGGCTTATAGTAGCAAAATATTGGAAATGACCTAAATGTCCAACTCTAGGTGACGACTTAAACAGATTATGGAAAGCTCACACAATATATACTGTGAAGACAATAATGATGATGTACAGTCATTGAAATTGTTCACAGTTTATTAAGTGTATAAAGCAGTGAGATATACATTGTCTCATATTTGTTAAAATGCATAGAAAATATCTGGAGGAGTATATATCAAAATGATAATGGTCACAAATGAAAAAAAATAAGGTGCTTCAAAGGTCACTGTCAAGAAAGTGAAGAGACAGCCCAGAGAATATTAGAAAATTTGCAAGTCATATGTATTTTTTAAAATTCTTTTATTTTTTTTAACGTTTATTTATTTTTCAGACAGAGAGAGACAAAGCATGAACGGGGGAGGGTCAGGGAGAGGGAGACATTCAGAGGGAATCTGAAACAGGCTCCAGGCTCTGAGCTGTCAGCACAGAGCCCGACGCGGGGCTCGAACCCACAGACCGCAAGATCATGACCTGAGCCAAAGTCGGCCGCTTAACCGACTGAGCCACCCAGGCGCCCCTAAAATTCTTTTTAACATTTATTTATTTTTGAGGGAGAGAGAGAGGGAGAGGGAGGGGGAGCTAGCGCATGAGTGAGGAAGAGGCAAAGAGAGGGAGACAGAGGATCCGAAGCAGGTTCCGTGTTGTGAGCACAAAGCCCGACGTAGGGCTCGAACTCACAAACCATGAGATCGTGACCTGAGCCGAAAACAAGAGTCACTCAACAACTGAGCCACCCAGGTGCCCCTGCAAATCATATCTCTGATAAGGTGCTTCTATCCAGAATATATAAAGAATGCTTACATCTCAATAATAAAAGTACAAATCAACCAGTTGAAAAAATGGGCAAAGGATTTAAGTAGACATTTCCCCAAAAAAGATCCACAAGTGGCCAATCAGCACATGAAAAGATGTTCAACATCATAAGACATCAAGGAAATGCAAAACAAAACCACAGTGAGATACCACTTCACACCCACTACGGTTTCTATAATCAAAAAGACAGATAATAACAAGTGTTAAGGATGCGGAGAAACTGGAACCTCATGCACTGCTGGCGGGAATGTAGCAACAGAGCTGCCACCTTAGAAAACAGTCTGGTGGTTCCTCAAAAGGTTAAACGTCAAGCCACCACGTGACCCAGTGATTCCACTCCTAAGCAGAAATCCAGAACACATGAAAACACATCCACACAAAAACTGGTACATGAATATTCACATTATTCATAATAGCCAACAGGTGGAAACAACCTCAATATCTATCAACACAGATAAACAAAATAGGGCATATCCATGCAATGGAATATGAAAATTCTGCCATGAAAAGAAATAAAGTCCCGATGCGTGGCACGACTTGGATGAACCTTGACAGCATTGGGCTAACTGAAAGAAGCCAGTCACAAAAAGACCACGTATTACATGATTCCACTCATATGGAAGATCTGGAATAGATAGATCTGTGGAAACAGAAAGTAGATTTGTGGTTGCCTAGGCCAAGGGGGCAGGGGATTGAGAGGAAATAGGAACTGACTGCTAATGGGTACAAGATTTCTTTTGTTGTGATGAAAATGTTCTAAAATTGATTGTGATGATGGTTGCACAACTCTGAATATACTGAACACCATTCAATGATATACTTTAAGTGAGTGAATAATATGGTGTATGAATTATATCTCAATAAACTTGTTTCAATTTAAAATTGTTAATGGTATTGTTTTTGCAAAGCTTGGAAAGGGGTAGTGGCACCAATAGGGAAAAGGGGAGATGGATTTATAAGAAATTAATCTGCAACTTTGGCTTACCCAAAAAAGAAAAAAAAAGTGTGTAGGGAGGAATTCACTGGAAGGATACTTAGGTAGTTCATAAACTCCAATAAATTCTTGAATAACCAAAACTGGGTAGGGAAGGAATGAGGGCAGCCCCAGGGAGTTTGGTAGTAGGAGCTTATGGGTCCTCTCTCTGGAGTGCTGTTGTTAATATGACTCAGCTTTAGTGACTGCTAGCCTCAGGAGTCTCCATTCCAAGTTTCAAGTTCCCAAGAGAGAGTATTCATTGACTCTGCTTCGGTCAGGTGTCTACCCTTGCATCAATCAGCTCTGGGTGAGGGGAATAGTATCAAATAGCAAGGACCTGATTGCAGGACGCCTTTGCTTGGGTATCGGATTCACTTGTGCAGTAAAAGGACAATGGCTGTAAGTGAGGCAGATAAACAGACACAAGAAATAATTACTACAATTAAGTTAAAAAAAAAAAAAGTCAATGTCTAGAACAGTGTGTATAATAAGACTCATTTTCTTCTTAAAAATTTCTCTCTTGTACAAATGAAAACAGGGTCCAGGTAGGTGACCCATGAGTGTTGCAAGCAGGTAGAAGACCATAGAGCATGCTGGGGACTGGGGCAAACTAGGGAGTGGGTCCTACATTTAAGGCAATCAGATGCAACTCCATTTCAGCTGATTTTGTCCTTTAGGAGTGCCAAGTCCTCTGTTGCTAGATGTTTGGATTTCTCAAGCAAAGCCAAACACTTGATTTTTATGTCAAATTTCCTGAGTTTGAAAACCCTCTGGGGACCAAATAAAAATCTCTATGGGCTGTATCTGTCTGCAGGCTTCCGGTTTGCAACTTCTGATGTACATATTTGTATATAAATAGTGTTTAGACAGACCTGAGTTTGTACTGGCTGTGTGATCTTGGATATTTCCCCTGTAACATGTAAAATGGGGACAATAGTCCAAACCTTCAGAGTTGCATCCATGAATTAGCATAAAGTGTTCAAGAGCTTTCAGTTAACGATGGTGGGTTGAATGCACACATATAATTTTGCTCTCTCCTGAAAACCCATGAAAACTACACTAAAGGGATTTAGAGAAACGGGGATTCACTAGGATAGGAGGTAAATGAGAGGAGACAGGAGCAATAAAATTTTGGAAGCAGGAAAGTGGATGGACAAGTGGTAACTGACTTGGCAGATCTAAGAAATGAAATCTTACATGTGAAGAGGGACAAGCAGGGAACCAACCTGATCAATATTACAGAATCGTCAAAAAAAAAACTTAGGAACTGAGGACAAAGGTGATAGAAAGTAAATTTAAGAAAATTTAGTGAATGCTGTTCAAGAAACAGATTCTTAGCCTCTTCCATATTTTATTCCCCTGAGTGACTACCCCTTCTCTACTCCAGCAGAAGACTGAGGGTTATTCTCTAGAATTAAAAAAAGAGAGAGCTCCTCTATTAAGGGATGCATGGTCCATCTGTGGACTAATAAATATATGTCTACTGAAGGCTGAACACCAAGACCTCCCAGCTCCCTTCCCCTTCCGGGATCCCAGAATGTAAGCAGCCAGGCATCTCTTCTCTGGGCATGATTTAAACACTTTATGGAGGAACTAATCAGCCAAACAGGAAACAAATAGAACATACTAACTTGGGGGGGAGGCGGTGTTCTCTGACAAATGACCCAAGATCATCCCACAGTGAAATTCCAAATCCACAAACTTTGCCCATGCGCTCAACATGGGCAATCAGTGTTTAGTGTCCCTTCTTAAACAAGAGTGGACAAGGATTAACAAACATCTGAGTAAAACTTCTAACAGGAAGGATAAGACCAAACAAACAAGCAGATAAAAGTAATTTGGAGGAAAGAAAGATCATGCAGGAAAAGGGAAATTTCTAAATCACTATTGGTAATACACTTACAGAGACAAAAGATCTTTCCTTGCTATTTTTTTTTAAATGTTTATTTATTTTCGAGAGGCAGAGAGACAGAGTGTGAGTGGGGGAGGGGCAGAGAGAGCCGGAGACACAGAATCTGAAGCAGGCTCCAGGTTCTGAGCTGTCAGCACTGACTCCAACTCCGACCCAGGGCTCAAACTCACGAACCACGAGTTCATGACCTGAGCTGGTCGGGCACTTAACTGACTGAGCCACGCAGGCTCCCCCTTTCCTATTTTTGTTTTAATTTTTTTTAATGTTTATTATTTTTGAGAGACAGATCATGAGCGGGAGAGGGGCAGAGGGAGAGAGAAAGACATACAGAATCTGAAGCTGGCTCCAGGCTCTGGACTGTCAGCAGAGAACCCCACACGGGCTCAAACCCACGAACTGTGAGATCATGACCTGGGCCTTCCCATGACCTGGGAAGTCGGGTGCTTAACTGACTGACCCACCCAGATGCCGCCCCACCTTTGCTATTTTTAAATAAGGGAAGATGCAGAGTCAAAACAGAGCCTAGAGATACGAAAACCATAGTAGAGAAATGAAAAATTCAATAGGAATATTGGAAGTTAAATTGAAGAAATCTCCCAGAAACTAAGGAGGAAATTCAAAAAGATGAAAGGTGTGCTGTGTTCCTGCGTTCTTCTGTCTTCTTAAGCATCTGAAGTATATTCATAGTCTCGGTTTTATTTCCTTGTCTTCTAATTCTTTATTATCTATGCTATTATGAGTCTGTTTCTGTGGATTGATTTTTCTTCCCCTTACAGGTCTTTCTGCTTCTTTGCATGTCTGGTAAGTTTGATTTGATGCCAGACATTGTGAACTTTACATGGTTGAGCACTGGCCTTTTTTATTCCTTAATTATTTTGAGTTTTGTTCTAGGATTCAGTCAACTTGCTTGGAAAGAGTTTGATCCTTTAGAGGTTGCTTTGGGAGCAGAGTCTAGTTTAGGGGTACTTTGGCTCCATTGTGAGGCAGTATCTTTTTGGATATGGTATTCTTCGTATGCCCAACATATTCTGAGGTTCCTACACTCTGATTGTTGGGAATGTAAACTATTTCCAACCTCGTGTGAGCTCCAAGAATTGTTCTACCTGATTCTTTCAAGTGCTCTTTCCCCGGCCTTAAGTAGTTTCTTCAAATGCATTCAATTATCAGTACTCGCTTGAAGACCTCAGGAGAAATTTCTGTGGATCTCCGGTGCAACTCTGTCTTGTCTGGTACCTCACCCTGTGAATTCTGGCCGTCTTGACCTCCCTGAACAACCAGCTAGCTCAGTCTCTTCAACACAGGGAGTCTGCCTGTTCTTCCTAGGTTTTCTCTCCATGCACCGCAGCCTGGAGGTACAGTATTTGGACTCATCTTATTTTTTCCTCCCACTTTTAGGGATCGGTGCCCTGCACTGCCTATTGTCCAAGGCCTGAAAACAGTGATTTCATATATTTTTTATGGTTTTAGAATTGGTTTAGGCAGGAGGTTGAATCCCAGTGTCTGCTACTCCATCTTGGCTGGAAGTGGAAGTCTCCTGTTCTAATAACCTCCCACACCTTCCTTAGGTATCCTCTCTCATTGTTCAAATTTAGTACACACTTATTGGATTGGGCCAGGAATATTTAGATGACAACTATAAAAAAGAGTGTAAAAATTTCCCATAATTCTCCCTAGAGCAATAACTCTAGTTAGTGTTTTGTGTATTTCATCTTTCCTTCCGGTCTTCTATCTTTTGGTCTTGCACGGTTTTTACATTCGCCTTCAACTTACTTCACCTTTTTTTAGCCTTCGACACTAATGGCCACTCCCTCGTTTTAAAAACTTTTTTGCTGTCAGCTTCCGGGAAATCCCTCTTTCCTGCTGTCATTTCTTTTTTTTTTTTTTAATTAAGTTCTTAATTTTAATTCCAGTATAGTTAATATGCAGTGTTATATTAGTTTCAGTACAGTATAGTGATTCAGCCCTTCCATACATCACCCGGTGCTCATCACGACAAGTGCCCTCCTTAATCCCCATCACCTGTTTCACCCATCCCCCACCCACCTCCTTTCTGTAACCATCAGTGTGTTCTCTATAGTTAAGAATCTGTTTCTTGGTTTGTTTCTCTCTCTCTCTCTCTTTTTTCCCTTTTGCTCATTTGTTCTGTTTCTTAAATACCATGAATGAATGAGATCATATGGTATTTGTCTTTCTCTGACTTATTTCACTCAACATTATACTCTGCCCCTCCCCTGCTCACGCTTTGTCTCACTCTGTTTCTCAAAAATAAATAAATGTAAAAAAAAAAAATTTATACACACACACACACACACACACACACTATCCCGGTGTCTATTCAACCCCTCCAAACCCTATAAACCCTCTCTCAACCTCCTTCCTCTAATTCTTCTTCCTTCATGGACTCTTTTTTTTTTTTTTTAATTTTTTTTTTCAACGTTTATTTATTTGTGGGACAGAGAGAAACAGAGCATGAACGGGGGAGGGGCAGAGAGAGAGGGAGACACAGAATCGGAAACAGGCTCCAGGCTCCGAGCCATCAGCCCAGAGCCCGACGCGGGGCTCGAACTCACGGACCGCGAGATCATGACCTGGCTGAAGTCGGACGCTTAACCGACTGCGCCACCCAGGCGCCCCTTCCTTCATGGACTCTTAAATGTTAACCACGTTCTTGCTTCTCACTCAGTATCTACATTCTCCCTGCATGATCTCATCTATTACCTGTGACTTGAGTTATCGTTCACCTACTTACAGCTCACAAATTTATACTTCCACATCTCTCTCCCCAGTACTCCGGACCCAATTGCCTAATGCATGTCTCTAGTTGGATGTCTCACAGTGTGTCCCAAACAGAACTCATTCTCTTCTCCAACAACATAATCTGTATCTTGGTTCCATCACAGTGAATGGCACTAGTATCCACATTTCTTCCCAAGCTGGAAATATGGAAGCCATGCTCAACTATTCCTTCTTTTTTTCTTCTTAATCCCTGTACATTTAATGGAGGCCCCTAATTCTTGTCTAGTTCATCTCCTAAATATCTCTTTCTTCAAACCCATGCCCTGGTTTTCCCACATTCCTGTTGTTCACACCTTCATTATCTCTCACCCAAACTATTGCAACAGCCTCTTTATCTGGTCTGTGGATAAGTGCTGGGTGCACTGTGGTCTTTACAAAACACCGAGATCATGCCACCCTCTTGTTTAAAAACTCCTAATGGTTCTCCACCACTTACAGGATAAAATCCAAAATCTTTAGCTTAGTCTGCACATGACTCTTCACAGCCTGCTCCCAGACTCCCTCTTCAGCCCTACCTCCTGCTTCTCCCAGATGTGTTCGCCCCCAGTGCAGCCTCCCTCTGCCTTTTTATGACCTCTTCTTTCTGCCCAGAAAGTCCTTCCTCGTTTTCTCTGTTTGACAAACACCTTCTCATATTTCAAGTTACATTTTCAGTGTCCACTTCTTCAGGGACTCTTTCCCTGGAGCTTCTCGAGAACTGCATTCCGTCATTCCTCCCATGCCCTAGCGGTTCCTTCACCCAACCACCACTGCACTAGCCACAGTGGTCTGTGGTTACACGTGGACCTTTATTTCTCTTACCAGACTGTACGCTCTTCACAGACAGCAGCCGCCTTATTCCTCTAGGTACGTATCTCTCTAACAAAGGCTCAGTACAACAGAACTCGGTCAATGCTCAGTAACTGTTGGTATAATTTTTGATTTCCTAAATGAGGTCCCTAATAGGCTTTGGAGGGCCCCCTGAGTTCTGTGGCATTGTTGTGGAAAATTGTGTGTTTTGAGGGTATTTTCCTGGAAAGAAGATTCATTCTAGTCACCAGATTTTCAGAGGGGGCCTGGATTCACAAAAGTGAAGGGGTGGCCAAGGGAGAGGGGGTACTTAGGGAGAAGGGGTAGCCAAGAAGTTGTTTTTAGAAACCTGAAACTCAGAGCCTACACTTTGTCCCGGGAATGGGGTGCTTGCTGTTGCCCCTGCTGTCACTTGGTCCTGTGATGAGGGCAGACATGGAGGGAGGGGTGTGCAGCATTTCTGGATTGCACGTGGGAACAGTCAGAAGGCTGGATTCTCAAAGCCTAGGACCCTCCTTTCCCTGCCTCTCAGTCTTTCTCTTTTATGCTCATGATTTGCGTACCAGGATGAATGCAAACTTAAAATTCAAACACACACACACACACACACACACACACACACACACTCACACCCCTCTGCGTGCACAGAAATACCCGCACACACACACAAACACACAGCCAGGCACACACAAACACATTCATCCACACGCACACCGGCCACCTACAAATGTGTGCTCTGGGTCACATGCAGCCTTGCCCATGCAAGCTCGATTCGTAACCACACACATAGAGACAGCCATGCATGTGAGAATCACCCGACCTGGCTCCCGCCCTCCCTCCTGCAGAGAGCAAGCGCTGTCCCTGGCATCAGGCCCAGGGAGACAGCCGAGTGGAGCCATCTGTCAGGCTGAGGTTCCTGCGCCGCCCATCCTGCCTGAGCTCAGACGGTCGGCACGCCGGGCACGCAGCCTCGCTATTCTCTTTGGCTGAATCATGCTGAGTGAGCTGGCCCAGCCAGGGTTTATCAAATCGGAACAGAATTTTGGCAAAACAGATGACTTGTGAGCTTGGCATTTGTGGGCCTGGGAGGTGGAGACCTGTAGGAGGAGGAAGGAGGAGTGGAAGGAGGTGAGGAGAGAAGATTGCCTTCTGATACACTGAGAGATGATGGAGAGCTTTCAAGAGGCAGCATGGCACGGGGACTTGGGTGCTGGACACAAAGTCAAAATAACCAGATTCAAACTCCAGCTCTGGCATTTCATAGTCATATGACTTTAAACATGTTAATTTACCTCTCTGAGCCTTGGTTTCTTCTATAAAACTGACCTAATACAATCATCGAATGCACAGGGTTGATAATAGAATTTTACAAGACAAGACATCAATTAGCACAGTGCCCTGCCACATAGAGGACTTAATAAAGGGTGGTTGTCATAGGTGGAGATCATGAGGGTTTAAAGAGAACATGCAGACCAGCCCTTTTCTTAAAAAAAAAAAAAAATTTTTAACATTTATCTATTTTTGAGAGACAGAGATAGAGCATGAGCAGGGGAGGGGCAGAGAGAGAGGGAAACACAGACTCCGAAGCAGGCTCCAGGCCCTGAGCTGTCCAGCACAGAGCCCGACGTGGGGCTCGAACCCACGTACCATGAGATCATGACCTGAGCAGAAGTCGGACGGACGCTTAACCGACTGAGCCACCCAGGTGCCCCATAGACCAGCCCTTTTAACTCACCATCCCGTCACCACTGGACAGCCCCAGTGGGTACCCCGGCATGGTCTCCGGTCCTCATCTGCAAACCAAATGCCTCGATCCACCTTGCACTCCAGAGGCCTCTTGTGTGTCTTCCTACTGTTCCTCACAACCCCCCGGCTTGAGTCTGAGAATCAACATTGGCCCTCCAATACCAGCCTTCACCTCTGCACAGCTCTGACTGCTCAGCCCGTACAGCTCCCACCACCCCCATTATCTGATTTGGGTAAGAGTAATCAAAAATAATAGTGGTACACAGGATTAGTTAAGCCCTCACTGTGCTAGAAATTTGCAAAGCAAATCCAGTTTAACCCTCACAACAACCTTAGAAAGCGAATACTATTATTATCCCCATTTTACAGCTGAAGAAACTGAAGTACCAAAAGATTAGGTAACCTGCCCCATTTAGACATTGATTGTAAGTCACGCTGTTATCTCATGGATTGCTAAGAAACACTGGCGATTAAATCATGTTACAATGCTAAGATGCATTGATGCGGAGACACTTAAGGGGGTGAGGTGTAGGGAAAGTCCATTACAGAATCAACGAAATATAGTAGTCTTACCTCAGCTGGGATGTGACTGAAAGTCTGTCTGCCTCCCGGGCCTGAAGTACCGCCCTCAAGCTGACATTTTTTGACCACTCCATGGAACAGACATTGCACTAAATTCTTTTTTAAGACTTATTATTGAAGTATAGGGGCACCTGGGTGGCTCAGTTGGTTAAGCATCCTACTTCAGCTCAGGTCATGGCTAGTGAGTTTGAGCCCCACATCAGGCTCTGTGCTGACAGCTCAGAGCCTGGAGCCTGCTTTGGATTCTGTGTCTCCGTCTCTCTCTGCCCCTCCCCCACTCAAGCTCGCTTGCGCACTCTCTCTCTCTCTCTCTCTCTCTCTCCCTCTCAAAAATAAATAAACATGAAAAATTTTAGAAAAAGACTTATTATTGAAGTATAGTTGATAAGTGTAGTCACTGTCTGTCACCATACAATGTCACTGCAATATTATTGGCCACATTCCCTAGGCTGTACATTCCATCTCCATGATATATATTATATCATGCATATAACAAGTATAAAGTTCTTCTTATGAGAAGTTATGTAATTTGTCAAGGTATCATCATAACTCATGAAACTGAGATTCAAAACCAGGCCTATCTGACTCCAGAGACCTTGCTCTTAACCATCATACAAGTCAGGTATCTTCTCTCAGCCTGGATGGTTGTTTCCAGAGTTTTGTTCAAATGTCTCCTCAGGCTGGCTCTGGGGCTGAGCCACAGCTCTTGTCCTGGTGATTCCCAGCCCTAGAGTTGGTCTTGTTGTGGATGGGTGGTGAGTGGGTGGGGGCACTGTCCTGGACTAGATAGAGGGCTTCTTATGCCATCTGTCTCTGGGTGGGACGACCTCCCAGCAGGCACTTCTTGCACTGGGCTTCAGTTACCCCACTGGTAACATGGAGAGAATAATCCTACTCCTGGTACCTGCCCGAATTAGTATACTCTTCCTTGAGATTATAAATGGAAGAAATCTGCATAGTTAGTACACTAGTAGACTGTCTGTGGACCTAGCCCCCAACCAAAGTTCCAGCCTTAGTACCCAAAAGTTTCCACCAAACTAGAAAAATCTCCAAAGGATCCTTACCTCCCTGCCTTTGTTCACACCTTTCCTTGTATCTGAAAAGCCTTCTCATCTTCACCTATCATAGTCCTACTTTTCTATCAAGGCCCAGTTCATAGGCTTCCTTCTAGGAGATGTTCCTAGACAGTGATCCTTGAAGTGACCCATTTCTCTACCTAATCTTTGACTATAACCTTTTAAGACATGTATCATTCATAGCCTTGCCATACAACTGTTGATCTATAGGACATTTCTTCTATGGTGGACTTGTGTTCGTTTTTGCCTGCCCAACATCTTATCCCTTTTTTGGTAAAAGCAACTTGATTTTCCTCTGGAGAACCACCTTCTCTCCATTGTAGTCCATATGACTTTGGACTCTCCCAAATCCAGAGGTAGGCATGTGCCTTAGGTCTTTTCAATCAGAGTCACTGAATTGATTCAGAGCGGGACAGGTGATTCAACAAAAGCATTGAGAGTTACTCCTGGGACTTTTCCTGGAACCACTGGAATAAGAAGCTCTATTTTTGCTATGATCAGATGTAAATTTGGAGTTGTGAGGGGCTTTCACATGGCAAAAGAATTCCTGAGGGGCGCCTGGGTGGCTCAGTCGGTTAACCATCCGACTTTGGCCTGGGTCATAATCTCACGGTTCTTGTGAGTTCGAGCCCCACATCGGGCTCTGTGCTGACAGCTCAGAGCCTGGAGCTTGCTTCAGAGTCTATGTCTCCCTCTCTGCTCAGAGGGAGCTTGCTTCAGAGTCTATGTCTCCCTCTCTGCTCCCTCCTCTGCTCAGGCTCTGTCTCTTTGTCTCTCTCTCAAAAATAAATAAATATTTTAAAAAGTTAAAAAAAAAAAAAAGAATTCCTGAGGATGAAGCCATCCAAGAGCAGATTACGTAGAAAGGCTTACTCTTCATGATGACATTTTTGCAAGCCCTTGGATCTAGATTTAGTTATTCCTAAAGCGAGAAGTAATCTGCCCAGGACAAATAAGTTCTGCCCCATGCACATTTTTCTCTTAAGTTAGTCTGACTTGGGTTTCTGTAATATATATTTAAAACACAGGGGCGCCTGGATGGCTCAAGTCATGATCTCACAGTTTGTGGATTCGAGCCCCACACTGGGCTCTGTGCTGGCAGTGCAGGGACTGCTTGGGATTCTCTCTCCCCTTCCCTCCTTCTCTCTCTGCCCCTCCCCCCACTTGCACAATCTCTGTCTCAAAATAAATAAACTTAAAAAAAAAAAACCTCATGCTAACATACCCCTGACTTGTTTATGTACTTCAAGAGGACAAGGCCCGATCTTTTTAGCTTGACATCTCTTTAGGGCCCAGCATACTCCCTACTAAGATACAGGGTCTTCAAGAAAGGGTGTTGATGATTGACGGATGGATGTTCAGTTCATTCAATCTTCTTGAGTATCTACAATGAGCTAAGCACCAAGATCACAAAGATTAATTAGACACAGTCCTCCTTAAGGAGTTCAGAGCTTAGTAAGAAGAGCTATGAAAGCAAACACATCATAATATATAGCCCAGGCTAAAATAAAAATCTGAAAAAAATCTTTGTGGGATCCAAGAAGGTGGGAGGTTTGGGGAGATAGGATCTGGGAAGGCTTCTCAGGGGAAATGACATCAGAGAC